TCACAGGTACGTTATTTTTATATATATATATATATTAGGGGTGTAATAGTATATATATATATTCGTCCCAAACCATCAGGGTATGAATGAATTTAAATTTGGGTAAACTTAAAAGAAAACAAAACAAAACATGCCTATCTAGCTTCTAGGTTGCCCGCGTGTGGAGTGACCATGAGAAATGAGAGGCACGGCTGCAATCCTGTCTTCTTTTCTTTGACGTAAAAGTCACAGATTTACAGACTCCATAGCAGATGCAAGTTTACTACAGGCTGCCACAACCCTCAATCTAACGACTCCTGAACTGACGAAGTTTTGAATAAAAATTTTGAGAGACAGGATTAAAGTTATGCTGTTATATATATATATATATATATATTATAAAGTTTATCTGTCTTAAATATAAAATAAATACATGATCAAAATATTAGTATAAATGCACACCTGCGTAATTTAAAACAAGGTTTAAAGTTTGGAGCAACAGAATAATTAGACAACCTTAATGTATTCTGTACAGTAGAGTTTGTTGTTCGATGCGCCACCCGGTGGAGGTAAAGCACATTTATTTAAATTCCAACGAGCATTTTATGCAAGCTATGGCACAAAATGACGCAAGCCACAGTAAAATACATGCATTTTTAATGGTCACCTCTGTACGTAGATCTCTGGAACATTTGTAAGTTAGCCACATGGATAATGCCAAAAAAAACTCATGATAAAAATTTTACTTAATAAAAATTTTAACAAATCACAGTTGTGTTTTTATAGACGCATATCCACACGTTTGTGTTCACTTAACTGACTGTGTTTATGAGGATACTGGCCAAGACGGGTATAGTAGACATCAATTTGTGTGCATTTGAAAGCAGTTCAACTACAATACGGAGCAAAAGAGAGTTGAATTTGCGATTGTGTGCTGTTTGCATGCAAGCTTTTCTCTCAAATACTCAACGCGAAATGTTGCTATTACACATTGCGATGCTAGTAGATTGGTACATTACGCTGCTATGATGTCCTATCTTTAAAACATTTGTATTGGAGGGCGTAAACGTTCGTCCCTACAGCAAAATGACAGGAGGGATGACAAATGAACTGTCAGCTTTGCGAAGCCTCAGCAGTCTTGTACTAACAATGAAGATCGCAGACAAGAACAAAGAGTGCGTTGTGTTTGCGCTGTGGTCTGCTATTGTCCCGCTGATGAGTCAGCCGCCCCATACAAACTCATGCAGACGGCAAAACCTAAGCACTTCTATTATCAAGGTCTTTTATGGGATGGCAGAAGGGATATTTAATCCCCAAGGCGTTCAGAGCTGCTCGCTTTCCTGCTTATCCTCACTGTTATCTGATGCCGAAGGTTGTGAACCGCTGTCCATGCTCGAAATCGCAGACTTTCAACTGGTTTTCGCTTCAGGATCCAGACTTTACTTTGAACATCAAGTGCAGACCACATACAGGGCTACAACTGTCACAATCTATTTGCTGTACATGCAAGCAACTAAATGTGTTAGAAGCTTGAAACTGTACACCATGACCATTTAACATTGGCGTGAGTTGCAAATGATTGTTTTGTGCTTGTTAACAATATGCAAAGTATAATTTGTTTATTTGCTTGTTAGTTTTTACATTTGTTTTGCTTCTTGCTGAGTGATTAGAAAAGAAGGAAAAATGTATAATCACACATTACAGGGTTGATTGTACAAATTGGTTGTACAACAAACAATGATGTCATAAAATCATGCATGCATGCATATATATATATATATATATATATATATATATATATATGTATATATATATGTGTGTGTGTTTGTGTGGGTGTGTGTTTGTATGTGTATGTGTATATGTATATGTGTATGTATGTGTGTGTGTGTATATATGTGTATATTTAT